CTCAACGCTCGAACGAGGACAATGATTCCCAAAAAACAACATTAGAGTTCGGATATTTACCTCGAATTTCTACTCATGCTTATGTCTTTATTAGTAATTCTTTAGTTAAAAATAGCAACGGCACTGCATATGTCTATACTATAAATGCTTATCAGGATGATTTGAAAATAGAGATTCCACCACAAGAAATAATACCATATGAAAGCTGTGAGTCCGAAGATTCCTTTAATCAAGATACTGACAGTGACATTAATGGAAATTCAGAGGATAGATTAACAAAGGTTATAGAGAATTTATATTTTGAGCATTTGAACCCTAAAGAAGGAAAGCATGTTAATATCATAAAAGATTTCACCTGGAGATCCTTTATGCGTCATCTCTGTGTTAAAACATTCAATAATTACTACCGATGATGCACCTGTAATGGTCAAACAATATCGTTATCTACCAGTACATAAAGATGAGATAAATAGGCAAGTAAAACAATGATTAGATAATAATATAATTAGAGAGTTTCATATCCCCTTACAATTCACCTCTATGGATTGTCCCAAAGAAGCCAGATTCGAAAGAAAATAAAAGATGGCGTATGGTGATAGATTTCAGAAATTTATATAAGAAAACAATCAGAGACGCGTATCCTTTACCAAACATCACTAAAATATTAGATAGATTGGGTGGAGCTAAATATTTTTCTATTTACGACTTAGCTAGCGGGTTTCACCAAATAGAAATGGAACCCAAAGATAGTCCAAAACAGCTTTCAGCAGACCTAAGGGCCACTATGAATATGTAAGAATGCCGTTTGGACTTAAAAATGCACCAGCAACCTTTCAACGTTCAATGGATCGCGTATTATTAAGATTACAAGATATTGAATTATTTGTTTATATAGATGATGTTGTAATTTTTGCCTCTTCATGACAAGAACATGAAACCCGAGTTCGAAGACTATTCCAACGTTTAAATTCAGCCAATTCAGTGTTACAACCAGATAAATGTGAATTTTTAAACAAACAAGTTGCTTATCTTAGACATGTAATCAGTGATAGAGGTGTCAAACCTGATCCTAAGAAAACCGAAACAATATCTTTATTCCCCATTCCTAAAAATATTACTAATGTTCGACAATTTCTAGGACTTGCTGGTGATTATAGACGATTCATTGAAAACTTTTCTAAACGTGCTAAACCTTTAACGGATTTATTGAAAAAGGGCAATAAATTTAATTGGGGCAACGAACAACAGGATAGCCTTGATGATTTGAAACGAGCCTTGTGTACTTCACCAGTTTGACAGTGCCCTGATTTCAATGAACCCTTTATTGTAACCACTGATGCATCAGACATTGCAGTTGGAGCAATTTTAAGTCAAGGGAAAATTGGTGAAGAAGGGCCTATAGCTTATATGTCCAGACTATTAAAACGAGTGGAGAAAAATTATACCACCACAGAAAAAAAGTGTCTAACAATAATCGCTGGTATTCTACACTTTCGTCCTTATCTATGTGGACGAAAATTTACACTCATCAGTGATCATGAACCTCTCAAATGGATAGACTCAGTAAAACCACCTGTATCAAGACTACTAAGATAAAGAACTCGACTTAGGGAACATGATTACAATTTTTTTTATAAACCAGGTCGTTGTAACGTAAACGCTGATGCTTTGTCTCGAAATCCGACCGAATTATCAGTCCTTCTTATCCTTTCCGCAACAAAGAAAAACGCTAATAAAGATATGGCCACTAAAAATAATACAACTACAACACATGAAATCTCTGGAAATACTATCGGAGAGAGAGTTAGGAATCGTCATCATCCAACTCATACACAACCAGAGAAACCTTCTTCATCAACAGTAACACGGGGTATCGGAAGAACAAGGAAAAATCCAATAGAACTACCAGTATTACCTCCAAAACAAACAAGAGGTGAGATAAGTTAAATTGACCCACTACCTGTAGCAAGAGGCAGAAATAGTGCTTTTCCAAGCCTAGCAGCTAAACAACCGGTTACCCGTTCACAACCAAAACCACAACTCTTCCACGTGAAAATTGAACAAATGCTTTAAAATTTACTTTTGATATTAGCTCTGAAAGTTCTGATATGGAAAATAATTTTAAATCTACAATCAGAAGTATCATTGGATTATCAAATATTCCACCAAGTGAAGATGAAAGATATTGGTAGGATGGAGATCGTACAAGTGATCAAATAACTTCGGAAGATGATGAACAATTAACGATTCCACAACTACCTCATGAAAAACCACGACTTACTCAATAGTATACCTGAAATAAATGAAGATAACGTAGAAAATAAAGAGTCCGCTCTTGAACCAGAAATACAGGCTAAAGGAAACACACCTTCCTCAACATTACCTTTAGAGTTATATTATCCTGGTATGAAAAATACAAATTCAAAGGTCCTAATTAGATATACAAATGAAAATCTTACTTATTACCGTGATAATTGGCTTCATTTTATATCAGAAGACTGTGAATTTACAACAACAATAACTCGATTGCTAATTGATATCAAAGCGATTGACCCCGCAGATATTAAATTCCAAAAACCTAAATTTCCACAAGTTTTAATTACTCCGAGAGGAAAACATAAGATTTTAAGTGCAGTTTTAACCTCTAAATATGTTGAAACATTTTCTATACAGGATGCAAAAACCATTTTCCATACAATTAAAACAATTGTAGATCAACATGAATTGAAAACATTACGATTCTCGACAGGATACAATAGCTGAATACCATGAAAGTTTGGTAGGAGGTCATAAAGGTATTACAAAAACTTATCGACGAGTTAGAGAAAGATTTTACTGGATAAATATGAGGGATGAAATAACAGAATTCATTCAATCCTGCCCTAGTTGTCAAGAAATAAAATTGGTGAGAAATAAAATTAAAGAGTCCATGATTATAACGGATACACCGTCAGAACCTTTCGATAAAATATCAATAGATACGGTTGGACCACTACCTGTTACACCATCAGGAAATAAACATATTTTAACTGTTCAAAATAACTAGACAACGTATTGTATAGCAATACCTATCCTAAATATCAAAGCAGAAACAATAGCTGATGCATTAGCTAGGAATGCAATAATTCAATTTGGGGCATCCAAAATTATTCTTAGTGATCAAGGACGATCATTTGTAGGGAAGGTACTTCATCATTTAGACAAGATTTTTCGAATCAAACATCTTACAACCTCAGCTTATCATCCTCAATCTAATGGTTTATTAGAAAGAAGTCATATTGTCTTAACAGAATTCATGAAACAATATATAAATAAATACGAGGACTGGGATAAATTAGTGCCCTTTGCTATGTTTTTATACAACTCTTTCTTTTATAAATCAACTAATTTGACACCTTTCGAATTGATCTATGGTAGAAAGGTTAGAATTCCAAGTTCTTTCCCCTTAAAAGAAAATTTGGAAACTTAAAGTAATTATATTAATGAATTCACTGCAAAAATAGACGATATGAGAACCCTTGCAGCATCAACCTTGTATAAATCAAAAAAAAGATCAAAAAAATACTATGATAGTGTTATGTCCGACTTAATATTCGTCCATCCCGTATCCCTTATTTCTTTTTTTTATTTCCCCCTTTCCTCTTTCCTTCTACCTTTTGCATAGGATTTAGACCGCTGACCAGCATTTTTCTTTTCCGTCGACGATGGTCAGCTTTTTTCCAAGCCTTTTGACTTGTGGCAGGGCCCGGGGCCCCAAACTGCAGACGGTGCACATTTTTCCCGTTTTGTTCTGTGGACTGGGAGTTTCCCAGCTTAATCAGTTTGAGAAACTTTCCAGTTCACCAGAAATCACGCATACATAAAATGACGACTCAATTCTTACAAAGCAATACTTTGTTGGATCGTTGTTTATGTCGGCTGCTGACATTCAAACCGGTGCAGGGTTACTTCCGGCGACTCTGTTTACACGCGGCCACTTCGTAGACCAAACAGCTCTTATCATGGCTTTTCGTCGAAGACCATAGACCCGTCAAGACGGCCCGCGTATCTAGCATCGCGTTGAACTAAATAAAATTTATTCTATCTTCAGTCGTTATAATAATCTCTTCCGAGACGCAGTAACGCGTATATCTTCTCCTATAGTAATTATTGCTAACCACATTAAATAAAAAGTTTCCGTCTATCGACGTTACAAATTTACGGGCAAAACAAAAAGTAAATAGAAATCTTATTATTATTAGTGTTGTAAGAAAAAAAAAAGGGACTAAAACAGAACAATAAAGAAATCCTTGTTTACTAAGAGGTGTTGTGTGAGTCATTTGTGATCCAGGAGAATCCCTACTCCCTTGGAAAGCATCTTCCATCGAAACTCACCACTCAACGTTCCTGTACCTGGTGCGTAATTGTCCTCCGGGCAAACAGTACGGAGTAAGGTAAGTTCATCTTACATTGTCAACCTCCTATTCTGAACGGAGACCCATCATTGTCAAGAGGGGAGAAGAGTGCAGGCTCTTCTAACGTTCCCTTAAAAAATTTTCCTTAAGAAAAAAAAAGGGGAAAGAAGTTTGTTTTTTTCTTTCCCTTAGAAAAACTACCTGTCCATGTCCGACGCCTCCAACCCAGGTTAGCTCTGCCAATTTTTAACAATTGGATCAGACTTGGATCAAGCTTGGTGTGACAAGCATTGAGATTCAAGATTTGACCATGGCTTGGCTTATTAAAACGTTCAATATGGAACCAATGCATAAATCAATGAAGAAAATAAAAAAAAAAACAATATTGACTCAATATTGGTTGAAATTTATTGAGTATTTTTCCAGAAAAATCAATGAAATTATTCAAAAACATGTATTAATACACAATAAATGTTACATTAAAAGAAGTTTAGAGCTTGAAGTGACATAACTTCACAAACTTTTTGTAATTGTTTTTATCATATATAAAGAAATATTACAAAAACTGATTGAAAGATAAAAAATTAGAAAATAAATCTTCTTTTATCAATGAAGAAATGGAGATACATAATATCGATTTATAATTTTTATCATGAAACATTTCGATTGAATTTCAGTAGCTGAAAAGTGCAAACGTTCATTATTGAATGCATAAAATTTGACTATATTTAATTCTTGAGATAAACATGGTCTTTCAAATACATTGAACTTCTCAGTACTTTCATAACCAGTCAAAAAAACATTATGTAATGCTACATGAGAATTATTATCTCTTGAAAAAATACCTTGAACAGAAAAAACTCTTCTATCTTTTAACAAAACAATGTTATTTGGTTCATTATCACTGATCTCCATTTCACATATTACAATAGATTTCATTTGGATGATTGAACCACCGAAAATTTCTAGCTGATGTTTAACTATGTACTTTCCGCCTGACCAACGCTTTCTTATTTTTATATTACTGGAAGCTTCTGTTGCTTTTATTTTATTGACTATTTGCTGGAGTGGTCTAGCATAAGAATAAACTAAATCCTTAAACTTTCCAATATAACTTTCGCCCCAAAAAGCTGAAAAATCACTTAACGGAGCTTGAATATTCGTCACATCATCAGATATGTGAATAAGATTATGAAAATTCATAACTTGCGAGTCTATCCCATAATAAGTTGGCAATAATTGTACGAATTTTCTTAAATATCTATTAGCTATATCAGCATATGCAGTAGCTAACTCTCTGCTATTGAGAATTCGAGATGCAGCATGTAATAATAAAAAATGGAGGTATCTATCTGTTGGTAACACATACTGTAAAATAAACGGTCCGCAGTACAGTAATACGAATCGATATTGAGTAGCTTTCCAGTGTCCAACTGTATCCAAACTAAATTCTTTACGTTGGAATTCTAATGGGATGTAAGGTGTCATAGTTTCTATAAGCTGTCGAAATATTTGACGGCTCCTAAGGGATAATTTGGAACGACTTTTGCGACCCATCCATTTTTCTAGTAAATTTTTCATGGCACCCAAATAAAGCATATGCATCGAATCTAAAACGACATCCTTTATAGGGTCAAAATTAGGAATTTTAATCAAAATTGTAGGCTCTGTTGTTAAATGATGTTCACTATCATCCATCGCAATAAATGATTCATTTGTTCGTTTTTCACAATCAATATAAGGATAAACCCTTCTCCGATTAACTGTAACTCCTTCAATAACGCATCTTTCACATCCAAAAAAAGCTGTTGGTCCTTTTATATTCTTCAAGAAAGCACGTGCTTGCCCATCAGCTATCGGACATCTAATTTTAACTTTATACTTTTTGCCATTCAATATTACTCCATTCAAAAGTATTTCCTTTGCTTCAATGACAAAATCTTGAAGGAAATCGTTTACATATTTAGGTTTAGAATCTCCATAGAATGCAGCGACAACAAACGGTTTACACTCATAATTATTTGAAACAACTTTCAGTAATATAGGCCAAAGCTGATTTTTTGTAGTTCTATATATCTTCATTCCATCTATATGTATCATAATTTCAATAATATTTTCCGTATAAATTTCTGGAAATATTATTTTTTCAAGATTATTTTTAATCCCAAAGTAGCAGTAATTACCAATACTCTCTTTCCTAGTAATCATTGTGGTTACATTGACTGAATGTTGAAAGCTGAGAAATTTTTGAGCTGTATTTGGAAAATTAATAAAACCTTCACTTCGAAGAATATGTAATAATTCTGTTAATGTAGTTAAGGCCATTTTGTCCATATTGTTCAAAGACCAATTTAATATTTTAGTGTAAATGTCCGCAGCAATATTATTATTTGCATTTTCTAATATCTCAATGTCACTTTCTCTATTACTGTCCAAGTCAGCATGATATACGATGAATGTTTCGGATGATAGGCCACTCATGGATGGATTTATCGAAGAATTGTCAAAAGTATCTGCATTTTTATTCTCTTGAACTGAAAAAGTTTTTATTCACTATTAATATAAATATAGAATTTTTAAAATTGTTTATAAAGTTTATTTTATTTTATCACCTTCAGAAGAAGTCACTACGGCTTGATTTGTAAGCAAGTCATTCATTTCTTCACTTTCATCATTAAAATTTGTGTCATTAGTGTTCATGATAACCTCTAAACGTTTGAAGTAACGATATTTCTTTACTTTATAATAAGAATTCATTCTTCAATAATGTATATTGAAAATAACGTTTAATTTTTATCAAGATTACGTTAATTTTTTATTTATCACTACTCAACTTTATAATATGTACAATATTTTGTTTAAATATATATTTAGAATTTAGTGTATTCGTACGTAGCACAAATGGAATATGAACCGCACACTATCGTTGCGCAGTCAGTCAGCTGAGACGAGAACCGGTAGAAAGGGAGCACAAGGCTTTAGTTCCTACAACGCCGTTGTAAAGAAATTTACTAATGCTCAAAAGTGTGATTTGTGAATTTATTGCTCTGGATTGATTAACTTGGTGCTGTGATAAGAATTTCTTATTCTTTGTAACTCTATATTATAATCCATTGGTGAGTTCACTAGTTCAATACATTTAAAGAAGAGAAAGTTTTAAGGTTATGTATCTATATGTCACTTGCACGGTTAATTAATAATTATTTTGAAGTAATGTGAAGTTACAGTGACTAATTATTCGTATTATACATTTCACTTAAAGGTTATGTTATATGTTTCTTATTTTAGTTTAAACGATGAAACAACTATGGAGTCTATAGACACTTCTCGATATTTTGTTGTTAAATTTGCTGAAAAGAGAAGAGGGCAGTCATTAATTGATTTGATACCTCGTTCATGGCTCATTAATCGTGAGAAACCTTATATGTGTTATTATCCACCAAAACAAGAATATCGGTATCTTGAAAACTGGGTTAAGAATAGAAAAAAACCAAACAATGAAAAATGGATATTGAGATTCTAAGTGGTGCCGGTAAAGTTATATTTTTTATTTGAAAACGTAATGACAATTTGTTATTAACTTACTATTTGATCGAAGGTGATTACGACGACTAAATCGGGCTTATACTCAAGAAAACCTTGAAACTGAAGATGCTACGTTAAAAAAACAAGATGTACCAAAATTAAATGAGAAGGAAGCTCTGGTTTTACTCAATGAAGAGCTCAACTTGAGTAACAAGGATGTACAAGAGTCATATTCCCTTACCAAAGGTAAAAAGTCCTGTCATAGTACATTTATAATCAGAAGATATTTTATTATTGCATCTAAATTTTGTTTTATCAACACAATTTTACTATTGACATTTCTGTACGTTTAAATTCAAGTTAAAATTAATGTATTAAACATTTCAATATACAGAAAATACTCGAGAGACAAATTTTGATAAACAATTGACAAGTATAAAAGCTGCTTCATTGAAAAAAATCCCAAAAAAGAGAATTTCACGACATTCGTCTTTTTCAAATTCAGAAGAAAGAGAAATAAGCCAAAATGAGTGCTCATATAGTGACCAATCTATTGATTCAACTATAGTGCCTCCGCTTAATAAAAAACGAAAAATGAACTTAAAGGTGTCATCGGATTCAGAATCAATTGAAGAAAATTCACAGAGAACTGGTCCAAAATCATTTGATAGTGTACATTCTGGACATAACGCAAAACGTAAATGGACTTCTAAACGTAAAACAACATTCTCTCCAACATCAAACCACTCAGATCTTCAACAACAAAGGCTAAGTAATGACTGTCATGCTTGGTTTTTCATTTCTAATGATCCTTCCATAATTTAATACAATTTCACATTTCTCAATATTTTAGAACCAAATATTCCAAGAACAGAAGACAAGATTCAAGAGGATCTTTTAAATTCACCTGGACAATCACCATTTAACCATACGAATTCAAATCATCTTGATAAATATCACAAATATAAACCCTTAAAAATGTCGAATACCATTATTGCTGATAGGAAGCTATTTAATCAATTCGACAAATGAATAGAATTGCGGCAAAACATGAATGATAAGCAAAGTAAGTTAGCATTAACATTAACGAACAGTTTGATGAAAACATTATTTTTTTCTTCATTCGCAGATATTCTTGCTGATTACGTTGACGTTCATATGGATATGTGCCAATTATTAATGAAAATATTTAAGAGCAGTATTTAATATGACTTCACAAATAAATTCAAAAATCTCAATAGAAGAAATCGAAGATTTTTTAGAATTTAATAATACCTTAAATGATCCAGATCAAACTCCCAAAAGAAATATTTGTCTATGAATAATAAGAAATAATAATATTTAATTTAATATAAAAAATCTTCAATGAACATTAAATTTTCAGAAAAGCTTTTTTGAAACCATAACAAGTGGTTCAAATTCTTATGACAAAGATATCAAGAAAATTTTAAAAGAACTAATGAAAAAAAAAGTGCAACAGAAATATAGTGGAGCTGGGCGTGTAACGAAAAGGAATATACCGAAATTGAATTATAGTAAAACAAATGTTTATCAAATAATGACCGGTTAGTATAAACTTTGTGTACTTTTCATTATATCGTTTCAATTTACACTTTTAAATAATATTTATAACTATTTAATTACTTATGTTTTAGATTTCATAGAAACAAAATACTCTGAATCGAAAAGAGAATTAAAAATTCTTTCAGTAACTAGTAAATTTTTGGCCGAAAGTGGAGATAGGGAAGGAGGTCGGGCACGAAGATCGCAAGATCGAATCCCTTAAGTGATTTATTTTTTATGTACTTTCCTTATCACTATAATTCGATGGACTTGTGTAAGCCTTTGAGTAAAAGAATCTTTTTTTTTCTTAAAAAAATATATTTCAAATCACTGTGATTTTAGTTTTGAAAGTAAATTAAATTGAAAATTAATTCAATGAGTTTCATACACATAAAGCTGGTAATTTTTTTTATATATATACCCTATCCGCACAAAACAGGCATCTTGGAATGCCTGTAAAAACTGGCGCCAAGTCCACATTCAAGTAAAATTAGTATAAATGGAAAAAAGGTAAGATCAAAAAAACATTTGAAATCAAGTAAAACGCCAAGTTAGCTGCGTCTTTTTTCATAATTTTTTCGAACTAGCAATGTACTATTGACTCATAAAATTTCAGTTAATTTTGAAGTACAAAAAAAAAATCTTCAAAACCAAAAAACTATGGAACTTGGCCCAATTTTTAAAATTCTTCCAACAGTTCTATATATCATAGTTCGTACATAAGAACATTTGAAACTGAATTGGGCAGACTTTAAAGACAAAATTGGGCCAAGTTCCATAGTTTTTTGGTTTTGAAGATTTTTTTTTTTGTACTTCAAAATTAACTGAAATTTTATAAGTCAATAGTACATTGCTAGTTCGAAAAAATTATGAAAAAGGACGCAGCTAACTTGGCGTTTTACTTGATTTTAAATGTTTTTTTGATCTTACCTTTTTTCCATTTATACTAATTTTACTTGAATGTGGACTTGGCGCCAGTTTTTTACAGGCATTCCAAGATGCCTGTTTTGTGCGGATTTCATTTCTTTTTGAAGTGAAAACTTCTTTAGGCGCGTTGGAGCAATTCTTAGTAGGGGACAAACTTGTAAGTTCACATCACCAAATCATCCGCGTTACTGACATAGTAACGTTGATATAATATCTATAGCTATAAAGTTGAAGCGTTCCTCTTGTATAACAGTAGAAGTATATATATACATATATATATATATACATGCAAGTGGACGTTTGGTAACATTTTGTGCGACCAAAGTGGAAGTTTGGTGACGAATTGGAATTTTGGTGACTGTCACCAAACTTCCCTACAACGATTATGGAAGTTTGGTGACAGTCATCAAACTTCCAAAATAATTTTGAAATCTACAAAAAAAAGAAAAGTAACAGAAAAATACGATAAATGTCGGATATGCGGTTAAAAAACATACAATATAATAAGTTCTGTTCTTCAAGCATCTAAAAGGAGCAGAATAACTGAGGAAATATCAAAATTTGTTACAAAAAATAGATTTATCACAATTAGTTATTTAATTTTTTACCTAATAATGGATATTGAAGATTAAAACGAATAGTATTGATATGGAATTTTGGTGACTGTCACATTTACATTCTGTGTTCACTGGGTAACTCCTCCAGTTACAGGAGCACTCTTACTGATGATGAAAGGAAATGATCGTAAAACTCAATTTCTGTTCTTTTACAACAAATGATATGTTACGAACAAAAGAAGTATGTTTATATTCATTTTACACAGTGGATAACATTGTTTCAGTAAAAGAAAAAATTTCCCGCTGAAAGATCTCGAATTGAATAAATCCTGTTTTCAATTGTTTATAACAAATTTAATTGTTATAAACAATTCACATTAACAAAAAGTAGCATATAACTTTCCGAACAACCCCCTCTACATATCTGTTAAATTTGGTCGCAATCGAATTAACCGTTTTAGAGATTACCACGTACAGACAGATAGACACCAGAAATTTATATAGTAGTATATTTAATTTTTATTTTTATTTATTTCGAAAATTTAAAAATTTATAACAATTTTAGGTAGTTCCTATGCTACATATGTGTATTTTCTGCTTTTTTATTACTCTGCCAAGCCAATTTTTTATTTTTCTGAAATAGAAAAAAGTTCAATGAAATAATGTCTTATAAAAATAGTGAAAAATATGATATTTCAATAAGACCTTATTTAAAGCCAATCACAAAATTTATAACAATTTTAGGTAGTTCCTATGCTACAAAGGTGTATTTTCTGCTCTTTTATTACTTTGCCAAGCCAGTTTTTTATTTTTCTGGAATAGAAAAAAGTTCAATGAAATAATGTCTTATGAAAATAGTGAAAAATATGATATTGCAATAAGACATTATTTGAAGCCAACCACAAAATTTATAACAATTTTGGATATTTATTATAATTGTTTTTTCTTTCAATCATCTAGAACATCATTTTATCCATGATTCCAAATGAAATCTATTAAAATCGATATGCAACACGCGGGAAACACTGCTTACTTTTTTTAATCATATTCTTTTGTTGTTATTATTCGACAAACACTTATTTTTTATTGATCATTTAATACTTTTCTTTACCAATAATTCCTAAAAAAGTTTATTTAAATCGATATACAACACGCGGGAAACATTTTTCATTATTCAGAACATAGATGTCTCTTGATTAGGCAAGAGAGAAGGAAATATTACGAGGTTAACGTGAAAGAGAGTGATAACAATACATAACGCAAGAAAGAGGGCACTGTAGGGAGCCCAATGTGAAAGAAAGTGACAAAAGACACATTCAGTAAGAGAGAACACATGATAGAGCGCTCGATTAAGTAGAGTGAAACAGCGAGCAAAAAAATCTTGAATAGCAGAAATATCGCTGTTAGGGGCGTGGCTTATTTATAACTCCGTTAATAATTAATAAAAAATTCTCGTTTAACGTTTAATTGGAAGCTCATGATATAAGATAACTACCTATTAAATATGAAATCATAATATGTAGCAATTATAAAGATATTTGCATATAAAGATGCGTTGATGACGTCACACAAAATTTTTCGTGTATAGAGTAGTCGGTAGCCTCGGTGCTCATGGGGGAAAGAGCGCGCTAGTGAGAAAGAGAGAGAGAGGGAAAAGGTGAATGTGCACTTGGCGCCGAGTATCTACCGCTACTCTAGATTAATCTTTATGTTTAAATACTTGGCTGCAATGATTTCATGCATTTTTGTAGTTGTTCGCATAAAGAAGTTTTATAGAAATCGCACTTGATGAACGATGATTATCGTCTTCGTTATTCATACTTGGCGCGTATTTTTGTGAAGTCCGTTAGGGCTGTTTTTGGTGTGATTCAAATTTTACCAATCGACCCAATTACAATAACTTCTTAATGGGAAGTTAATAAAAACCGAAGAAAATAATTCATTTCAAATATTGTTGATTTTTAGATTTAGATACTTAGACGAAGTCATAGGAATTCGCTAGTTCGAGTAAATAAATGTTTTTTTTTGTTCTGCATTACCATTCATAATTTGTTTAACAAAATTGCCATAAAGATAAGCATACATATTATGAATATAACGTAGTAGTAAGGTTTTCTTCCAACTCTATTGCTGCGTAGTTGATACAGTGACGCTTTCTCGAGTGCGGAGTGGAGGGGAGTAGTCGGTCGTCGTGCTGCGATTAGCTCTCTTACGCTGCACGTTACTAACATGAAAATAGTCGAGTCGAAACAGTTGAAAAGCAAAAGCATCTGAAAACTACAAACAGATGAGAATCTCAAACAGTTGAATGTCTGAGCAATTGAAAGTCGTATGAATATAATAGTTGAGCATAACAATATATACTAACGCAACATAGCCACGAGTCGATGTCGTAGACTGAATGACTCTTATGTGGTGAATCGTCGGAAGGCGTTTATAATTGTTCTATGTATACTTTTAGTTGCATATAACTAAAAACAACAGAAATGTTATACTCACTTCAGTCCTAGTACGAATAGTAAAAATTTTTTTACTACGTATACGAAATATAACCAAGTCGCTAACAGTAATAGCTAGCGAGAGTAAATTTTTAATAAATTTAGAAAAAGAGAGTGTTTGAACTTTTCAGTTCTACATTCATATCAATGAATGTTTAAATTTCTTAAGTATAAAAGTGTTGATGGAAACACCAGTTTTCACCTACAACACAAAATATGTGTTACATAGTAAGGCTTCAATATAATATATTTGTTTTACTATATAACGCATATTTTCGAGAACGGATGTGTGTGTATAAACACATTATAAAGTTCCCTGGTTGATCCTGCCAGTAGTGATATGCTTGTCTCAAAGATTAAGCCATGCATGTTTAAGTACATACCGAATTACGGTGAAACCGCGAATGGCTCATTAAATCAGTTATGGTTCCTTAGATTGTACCCACATTTACTTGGATAACTGTGGTAATTCTAGAGCTAATACAAGCAAACTAGAGTTCCAACCAGAGATGGAAGGAACGCTTTTATTAGATCAAAACCAATCGGTGGTCTCGACCATCGTTTACTTTGGTGACTCTGAATAACTTTTAGCTGATCGTATGGTCTCGTACCGACGACAAATCTTTCAAATGTCTGCCTTATCAACTGTCGATGGTAGGTTCTGCGCCTACCATGGTTGTAACGGGTAACGGGGAATCAGGGTTCGATTCCGGAGAGGGAGCCTGAGAAACGGCTACCACATCCAAGGAAGGCAGCAGGCGCGCAAATTACCCACTCCCGGCACGGGGAGGTAGTGACGAAAAATAACGATACGGGACTCATCCGAGGCCTCGTAATCGGAATGAGTACACTTTAAATCCTTTAACGAGGAACAATTGGAGGGCAAGTCTGGTGCCAGCAGCCGCGGTAATTCCAGCTCCAATAGCGTATATTAAAGTTGTTGCGGTTAAAAAGCTCGTAGTTGAATCTGTGTGCCACACTGTCGGTTCACCGCTCGCGGTGTAAACTGGCATGCTTGTGGGACGTCCTACCGGTGGATTTAGCTTTAGTGTAAAAACTAAAGCGGTCCAATAATCCTGTCGCGGTGCTCTTAATTGAGTGTCGAGATGGGCCGGTACGTTTACTTTGAACAAATTAGAGTGCTCAAAGCAGGCTTATTATCGCCTGAATACTGTGTGCATGGAAATAATAGAATAGGATCTCGGTTCTATTTTGTTGGTTTTCGGAATTCCGAGATAATGATTAATAGGGACAGATGGGGGCATTCGTATTGCGACGTTAGAGGTGAAATTCTTGGATCGTCGCAAGACGAACAGAAGCGAAAGCATTTGCCAAAAATGTTTTCATTAATCAAGAACGAAAGTTAGAGGTTCGAAGGCGATCAGATACCGCCCTAGTTCTAACCATAAACGATGCCAGCTAGCGATCCGCCGAAGTTCCTCCGATGACTCGGCGGGCAGCTTCCGGGAAACCAAAGCTTTTGGGTTCCGGGGGAAGTATGGTTGCAAAGCTGAAACTTAAAGGAATTGACGGAAGGGCACCACCAGGAGTGGAGCCTGCGGCTTAATTTGACTCAACACGGGAAACCTCACCAGGCCCGGACACCGGAAGGATTGACAGATTGATAGCTCTTTCTTGATTCGGTGGGTGGTGGTGCATGGCCGTTCTTAGTTGGTGGAGCGATTTGTCTGGTTAATTCCGATAACGAACGAGACTCTAGCCTGCTAAATAGACGTATTTCTGGTATCTTGAAGGTCTACAGTTTTCGGATTGTAGATTTTTACTACCGACGTACTAAAACTCTTCTTAGAGGGACAGGCGGCTTCTAGTCGCACGAGATTGAGCAATAACAGGTCTGTGATGCCCTTAGATGTTCTGGGCCGCACGCGCGCTACACTGAAGGAATCAACGTGTCTTCCCTGGCCGAAAGGCCCGGGTAACCCGCTGAACCTCCTTCGTGCTAGGGATTGGGGCTTGCAATTATTCCCCATGAACGAGGAATTCCCAGTAAGCGCGAGTCATAAGCTCGCGTTGATTACGTCCCTGCCCTTTGTACACACCGCCCGTCGCTACTACCGATTGAATGATTTAGTGAGGTCTTCGGACTGATACACGGCAATGTTTCGGCATTGCCGATGTTGTTGGAAAGATGACCAAACTTGATCATTTAGAGGAAGTAAAAGTCGTAACAAGGTTTCCGTAGGTGAACCTGCGGAAGGATCATTAACGTATTAACAAATTTCATATAATTTGTATTACAATAATAATAATAATAATAAATGTGTTAACACACAAACAATTTTATACTCAATATATATATGCAAACAAAATGATATTTTCATGGTAACCTGTTAAAAGTAATTCTTTTTTAAAATGAAAAAGAATTTACTGTAGTTTTTAAATGAATATTCGCCATGATTTTTGAAGTGAAAACTTCTTTAGCGGCGTTGAGCACTTTTTCTGTAATGGGTATAAAATCTTAAACTCGCGTCAGGACACGTGACCTGATCGAAAAAGCGTAAGACGGATGGAGAGTAGACAGCTATCCCCTCTCTACGGCGCGGCGAAAATGTATGCCTGGGCCTACTGTTTCGTTTAGGCAGCGCAGGGCGCTTGCGCGAATGTTCGTGTATGTTACAGCGTGCCACGCGCATCCATGGATGGTGACAGCTGATGGCTCGACCGTCTGTGTAGTGATCACATTGTTGTGTATTTGTAAAATTCGTGAATGTAAAGTGCTTAAAATATGGAAATTGAACAAAGTGCATCTATTAATGATAAAAGTGATGAAGAAATAGCGAAAGAAAATGAGTGAGTACTTTATAAATATACTAGATGAAAATTTAATAAGTTTTAATTTTTAATTAATATAATTTTTTATTATTCAGGTTAGGTTAGGTTTAATTAATTTTCATTTATTCATTAATATAATTTTATAATTAAGGTTAGGTTTCGATCGAGTCTATCGTACTGCTTAACGAAATTATTAATATAGATACATATGAACTTACATAGTATAAATGTAATATTTGTAATATGTTTATACTTTATAGCATTAACCTATATTTTCATAACATCACAATAAGCACATGTGCGGTGTAGGTTTACCAAACAAATAATTTCGAATGAAAATAAATGAAATAAGATGATAATAAATAATCTCCGTTTTTCAGAGAAAGAAAAGAAAAAAAAAAAGAACGGAATCGAGAATACCAAAAGGCATGGCGTCAGCGTAAAAAAGATTTGAAAAAAAAAGATTCGAAGGAGGAAAAAGAAGAAAAAAAAAGAAAAAGACATTGTGAGAATCAAAGAGCATATTATCAACGTACAAAAGGTTTAAAGGAAAATGACGAAAATGTAGAAGAATTGTTCCAAAAGCAATTAGATGATTTGCAAATGTAATTTGATTTCATATTTTAAATATTGTAATATATATATATATAAATATATATATACATATATTTTATTGTTTTATTATGTATTTTTATTGTTATTATTTTATTTTATGATTTCTTTGTTTTTTTTCGCAGGAAAAAAAAGAAATTGGAAAGTAATGAAGACCAAGAGAATGTTCTGCAATGCAGGGCTTTTCGAAATTTAGAAAATGTACAGCTCGAACAAAATCAATTCCTCACCCAACAACTTCGTATATATGAAGAGAGTCACGAATGTATTACCCCCAAAGTCATTTTACATAGAACTACAGATATTCCAGGTGATGGTAATTGTCTTTTCCATTCACTCATACATGTTCTGCAACTTAAAATTTCGACTTGTGATTTGAGAAGACAGTTACGTGATTCACCTTATTTAAACTCCTGCCACAATCCACAAGAAGCATATAATATACTTTCAAGTAACAATGAATATGGAGATTTGGATTGTTTATATTTGTTTGCAAAAACTTACAATCAAAATATTTGTGTGCATTACCACTATTTCAACGTAATTTCAAAAAATAAAGATACTCGATTCTGTCATTTTAAAGCAAATGATACACATAATTGGATTCATCTTGATCTTCGTGAGCTACACTTTACGCCTTACTTCTCTGATGATGAAAAGAAGAAAGAAGATGAAAGAAAACAAAAGCAGAAGAACAAAGAATATTCTAAGCGGTATCGAGATAAAAAAAGAACATCAAATATACAAACAGCCCCGTCCGCCGGAGATGTGTTGGATGTACAACCAGTCATTCATACTTCACAAATTGCAGACCCGTCCACCGGAGGTGTGCCATATGTTCCACCAGTTATTTGTAGTTCCCAAATTGCAGATTTATTGTCGAGAGATGTACCTTCAAGTCCATCAATACATTCTAACTACAATTCTATCGAAGTGCGTCAAAGGCATTTTCCTTCTCAAGATGTTGAATCATCTCCACCTAATATACATCTTCAAACATACTCTGCTTTTCAACAGAATTCTTCTGCTCATCAACAGTTTGAAAATGATTTTGTTAAAAATGAATTTGGTCATGCTTGCGACATTTGTGACAGACTGTGGTTTAGAAAAGATTTGAAATATTTGCAAAACAACGATGCAACTCCAAAAATTGAATTTATAAGAACATTGCTCTCGAACATTGCTATACTGACAATAAAAATATGTTCGACTTGCTTTAAAGCCATTCAAAAGCAATGTATCCCACAACTATCAGTTTACAATGGATTCAAATATCCACCACTTCCAGACTGTCTTAAAGACTTTCCTTTGGACTTGGTAACTGAAAGACTTATATCGCCAAGGATTCCATTCATGCAAATTCGAAGGCTTCGGCATGTTCACGGTCAATATGGAATATACGGGCAGGTGATAAATGTTCCAATTGAAATAAACACAATGGTGCATCAGTTACCAAGACAAGTGGATGATGATCATGCTATAACAGTTCACATTAAAAGGAAAAAAATTCACAAATCTAGCTACGTGTATGGTATAGTGACCAAGAGAAAAATAAAAGTGTGGTTACGATATTTAAAGGATACTCCTCTTTACAAGTCTTACGGCGTTTTAGTTGACGATGATTTTTTAAATGATAGAAGTTATGACGTTGAAGATGAAATCATCTTTGATGAAGATGGCGACAATGACCTTTTAGAACAAATACCCATCGAGGAAAGTTTAATAGCACAGCAGCAAACATTGATGTGGAACGACGATATGTACTTGAGAATCGCTCCAGGCGAAGGTAGTTTTTTATTTTTATTTTTATGTTTCTTTAATTTATTGAACAAGAAGATACATAATATATATGATTTACTTTTGCTTTCTTTTTTAGGTAATGCTCCAAAGAGTTTGCTGTTTGATGAACATGCTGAAGAATTATCTTTTCCACAAATATATCTGGGGCATTTCAGAGAATTTAGGAATGCGGTCACACCCTTCATGATGGCTACGAGTGAATTAAGAAGATCTGATAGACGCGGAGTAACCCCTCAACACTTATTGTACATGGCTATGAAAATAATGAGAATTAAAATTAAGGACTCTCTTCACATTGCATTTAAGCATGTCGGCCAAGGTATTGCAATAACTAAAGAGCAAATAGAATCTGATGATTATATTCACGGCTGCATTGAAACTAATTTGGCATTCCTTCGTTCTATTCCGAATTCAGCATACTATTGGGCAGAAAGAAAAAGAGATCTTTTTGCTATGATTCGTCAATACGGTAAGCCAACTGTTTTCTTTACCATAAGTGCTAATGAAATTGGATGGCCTAAATTATTACAATTGTTGCATAATTTGAAAAATAATGCGGAAATATCGGTTGAAGAGGCTGCAGATTTGCATTTTATTGAGAAAAGCACTCTTATTAATGAAGATGCCGTAACATGTGCTATATACTTCAATAAGTTAGTCGAAGTTCTTTTAAAAATATTACAATCAAAAAGGCACAGTCCTTTCAAAAAATACAGGATTTTGCATTACTTTAAAAGAATTGAATTCCAACATCGAGGTAGTCCACATGCGCATATTTTAGCTTGGTTAGATAATGCCCCAGAAGACGCCCTTAACAGAGATTATAATGAAGCTATCGATCTTATCGATTTTCTGATATCAGTATCTGCTGCCGAGGCTTCTGGTGATATCCGATTACAAACTCATAAGCATACTTTTACTTGCTATAAAGGTATAGCATCGAGACGACAACAAAAATGTAGATTTGACGCTCCGTTTATGCCAGTTAAGAAAACCATGATTTTGACGCCTATGCCAGATACAGAAAATGGTTTCCAACGGTACAAGGCTAAATATAATTTAATCCAAAAAAACTTGGAAAAATACGAATACAATGGTTTTCAATCGTTCTACGATGAAAATAATATTGCTTCAGATGACGAATATGTCAACATTATTCGAGCAGGAATTAATAGACCACGAGTTTTTCCAAAACGTAAACCATGTGAAAAGTGGAATAATCCATTTAATCCCTTCATATTCAACGTTGTTAGATCCAACACTGATTTCCAATTTATAACTGAAGAATATTCTTGTGCAGCTTACGTGGTCGAATATGTTAACAAAACTAATAGAGGTGTTAGCAATTTACAAAGAAAAATAATTGAAATAATGGATGAACATCCTGAGTTTAATTTATTTGACATTACTAAAAATATTAGCATTAATCTTTTGAACCACACTGAGATGACGAGTCAAGAGGCTGCATGGTACTTATTGAGAGAACCAATGTCAAAAAGTTCAACTGTTATTGTCTATATACCAACCATTTGGCCAGTCGAAAGGCATAGAATAAAGAAGACAATGAAAGAATTAAGTGAACTAGAAGATGATTCAACCGACATATGGAAGGAAAATTATTTCGACAAGTATGAAAAGAGACCTGAAGATTTAGCAGGTATTTCTCTTGCTCAGTTTGTTGCTAAATATTATAAAAATAACAAGGGTGACTATGTACTCAGGGAAGAACCAAAAGTTATACGATATCGCAATTATGATATGGGTACAGACTACAATGAGTATCGGAGAGAAATGGTTACTTTGCACCTTCCATTCCGTCATGAAGAATCGGAAATTCTTGCAGAATCGCGATATCTTCAGTTATACGAAGAAAATGAGGCACTTATTCTAGATCGAAGAAAAGAGCTCGAATCAAATCTTGACATCGAAAAAACATTGGAAATCTGCAGGGAGTTATGTCGTGAAAATGTTTCCGATGATGATGAGGAGATAAACGACGTAGTTGGTAGAATTCCTAATGAAAACCCATTTGCTGAATTATATCAAAATCCAAACGCAGATTTAAATGATGATTTACGCCTTGCGTTGTTTGATAAGCTTGGATCAATTGCTAAAAAGAAAGATAATATCTTACCTTATCCAGAATTTTATGGGCTTATGCGCAAAGCAAACGAGGAACAGCGAGAAATTTTGTTTCACACTATGCATCATTTAATATCAAACAACGAGCCAATGCAACAACCATTGTTGATATATTTGACTGGGCCAGCTGGTAGTGGTAAAACGTTTGTAATAAAAGCACTCATGGAAATTTATAATAGATTTTCTGACACGGATGGAATTTTCAACGCATACATTGCTTGTGCTTCAACTGGAAAAGCTGCTACAGCCATAGGTGGAACAACGGTGCATAATGCTTTAAGTATATCACTCTCAAGGCTATTGCCACTCAACATCGAAAAAGCTCATCAATACAGAGCGCTATTTGAGTTCATTAAGGTTATTATCATTGACGAAGTAAGCATGGTTTCAGCAGAATTATTAGAACAAATTAATGAACGTTTGAAGCAAATCACTGGCTTGTTCACAAAAGCTTTTGGTGGATTGGACGTGATCCTTATCGGAGATTTGCGCCAATTACCTCCTGTAAAAGCTACACCGATCTTTAAGCAAATTAAAAAAAAAATTACTGGTGAATCAATTTGGCGAAAATTTCATCAATTCGAACTCAAGAAGGTAATGCGCCAAGAAAATAGACTCTTTTCTGCCATTTTAACAAAAATCGGTGATGGGTTCATTCTAACAGAAGAAGAATTAAATATGATAGAATCGAGATTTGTAACTAAAGAACACGCACAATCAGAATGTCCGGAAGGAACGAGACTTATGTTCACGAATAATAAGGTTAATGAATACAACAGTACAATTTTGAACAGTTTTGAAAATAAAATTGTTTCATTGGCATCGGATGTTTTCGTTGGTTGTCATAATGCAGAACAAGAAAATTTTGTAAGGCAAAAGTTACATAAAATGAAACCTGACGAGACTGGTGGATTACCTTATGAACTAGTTCTAGTTCCTAACCGACCCTATATGATAACCATAAACATAGATGTCGCTGATGGTTTATCTAATGGCACTGTAGGAAAATTACTACTCATAGAATCTGATAAAAATGATGAAATCACAAGACTTTGGTTCAAATTCTCAAAATCCATTGGTCAAAAACGTGCAACAAAATTTAGAAGCGACATTGCACGCTTGAAAATCGACAAAGACGCTGTTCCAATTTCTTTACAATCATCGTCAATACCACTCAACAGAAATAAAACTATAGTGGCAAAAAGAAAACATTTTCCACTGATTTCGGCTTTGGCGATGACAATTCATAAATCCCAAGGAGGTACGTTTGATGCTATCGTTTATGAATACAATCGTTCTCATTCAAGAGAATTGGTGTACGTTGCGCTATCAAGAGTAACTAGTATAGAAGGTTTGTTCTTAGTCACTGAAGACGACACAAGGGCGAGCTGGAAATTTCATCATGGCAGAGTAGGAAACGCACAGGTGGAAGATTCAAACGCAACAAAAAATCAAAAGAGATCAACAACTCATCGAGAAGATTTATCAATTGAATTGAAACGTTTACGTGAAAATCCTTTGCAAACCATCACCAAAACACTTGTAGATTTTATTTCTAAGAATAATAGATTGTCTATTTTTTCATTCAATTGTCAGAGTTTACGTGCGCATGTAGATGATCTAGCAATTGACGCTCTTGTTAAAAAGATGAATGTGTTAATTTTATCAGAAACTCATATGGGTAACAATGAAATAATTGACATTCCGAATTATAACTTTGTTGCGAGTTTCAGAAGAAATAATCGTCCCGCGGGAGGAGTAGCTATTTATCAAAATATGAACACAGTTCATTATTGCACAAATTATATGGATGTACATGTGAAATACAACAGCATGTTTAATGCCACTGTTTCTGATATCGGTGATATTTGTATAAGTCGTTGCCACTCTGGTGATAATCAGTTCATAATTATGGTTGCCGTTTACATCTCTCCAGATAAGTCATTGCGTGCTATACGAGACTTCTTGTATGAAAATTTATTCATTTATTCTCATGATGCATCTGCATTGCTTAAAAAAAAAATTGGAAAAAGCTTTGATGAATTGCCAATGATTTTGAGTGGAGATTTCAACATAAACTTCGCAGACGATAAAAATCAACTATTAATTGAATTTTTAAATAATGAATTTGGTTTAACTATGTCAAATGATCGCAATCTTAGCACAACGAAATACAAAACTACTATTGATGCGGTCTTTATTAGACATTTAAATAGGTTCGAATCAAAACTGTTCGTTTCTTACTTCAGCTACCATAAACCTATCGTATCAGTTTTAGAGATTGGCGATGATAGTTCTGGTAATGATGATGGTGAAAAAGTCGTTGAAATTATGGATGAAAGTTGATTTTTCGGAAAGATAAACTTTTTCATGTAAAATAATTGTAATAGTTTTAAAGTGTTAAATTTTTAATGTAATATAAATTGTCATGTTTGTGTACGATAGCGCAATAAATGAATATTGTATTCTACCACATAAATGATAGTACTTTTATACTGATAAAGCAATTGGTGCAAAATTATTCCGTAACCATTCCAAAATATCAAACATGCTCAACGTTAATAATCAAGTTTTCACTTCTGCCGGCACTCCCGGAGTGCAACCCGTCATTTTTTATTATATTGAGTTTTTTCTTTTTACAATGCCACAACTATTACTTGGTTATGGCAAAAATGCATATCTGTCACATTAGTGACTTATATGTATATCATTTTGTAAATGTAACATATACAGATTATATTGACATTTTAACAATGTAAAATAAAAATAAAAAATGATTATTCTAAACGGTGGATCACTTGGCTCGTAAATCGATGAAGAACGCAGCTAATTGCGCGTCAACTTGTGAACTGCAGGACACATGAACATCGACATTTCGAACGCACATTGCGGTCTACGGATCCAATTCCCAGACCACGCTTGGCTGAGGGTCGTATCTACATATAAAACTGCATATTTTTTAAGTATGCGAATTTATTATATTGAATGTTCATCATTTCATTAAATGATGTCATTTCAAATTATATAAATGATGATTAAATAACACATAATAAGTTAGTCATCGTGTCCATGAATGATTTTTACATCGTAAAAGGACAGATTGATTTGTAACTTTTTTTTGTGTTTCTATCATATTTCTAATGGCGACCTCAGATTAAGCGAGACTACCCGCTGAATTTAAGCATATTATTAAGCGGAGGAAGAGAAACTAACTAGGATTTCCTTAATAGCGGCGAGCGAACAGGAAAAAGCCCAGCACTAAATTCCGTAGTCAATGCTACTGGAAGATGTAGTGTTTAGGAGGAATCAACTAACCCGTAGCATTACTTTATGTCCAAGTCCATCTTGAATGGGGCCACTTACCCATAGAGGGTGCCAGGCCTGTAGTGACTGAAGTGTGTTTCAGGTGATTCTCTCCTTAGAGTCGGGTTGCTTGAGAGTGCAGCTCTAAGTGGGTGGTAAACTCCATCTAAGGCTAAATATTGTTACGAGACCGATAGCGAACAAGTACCGTGAGGGAAAGTTGAAAAGAACTTTGAAGAGAGAGTTCAAGAGTACGTGAAACCGTTTAGAAGTAAACCTGAGAAACCCAAAAGATCGAATGGGGAGATTCATCGTCAAAATATTTGGTATCAATGCTAGTTATGATATAATAAATAGTCTTCGGATTAGTATATTGTACATTCTAGTATTATTTTTACCTTATATGTCGGCGTGCACTTCTCCTCTAGTAGAACGTCGTGACCCGTTAAATGTTGATTTATGGCCCAATTGATTGTCTCTTTCTGCATGCAGTTGGAGATCATTGGTGTTCCTAATCAACTGTTTGACGGTATTCGTATGGTATTAAGTCGCTATTTGTTAGCGTTAGATTCATTACAAGTGCGGTTAATTTTTGACAGTACGGATATAACGCCGTCGTTAAAATTAACCAACTGTTAGTTGATGATATTCTTTAACTGATTTTAATACCGGTCAGCGGCGCTACTGCTTTGGGTACTTTCAGGACCCGTCTTGAAACACGGACCAAGGAGTCTAACATGTACGCAAGTCATTGGGATTTTAAAAACAAACCTAAAGGCATAATGAAAGTAAAGATTGTTTTAGGACAATTAAGGGAAGATAGGTTATATTTCGATATAATCTCGCATTCCCGGGGTATCTTATTCTCATTGAGAAAAGGTGCACCTAGAGCGTACACGTTGGGACCCGAAAGATGGTGAACTATGCCTGGTCAGGATGAAGTCAGGGGAAACCCTGATGGAAGTCCGTAGCGATTCTGACGTGCAAATCGATCGTCGGAACTGGGTATAGGGGCGAAAGACTAATCGAACCATCTAGTAGCTGGTTCCCTCCGAAGTTTCCCTCAGGATAGTTGGCATTTATACTATAAGTCTCATCTGGTAAAGCGAATGATTAGAGGCCTTGGGATCGAAACGATCTCAACCTATTCTCAAACTTTAAATGAGTGAGATCTTTGGCTTGCTTAAATTATGAAGCCATGAGATTTTCGGATAAAAGTGCCAAGTGGGCCATTTTTGGTAAGCAGAACTGGCGCTGTGGGATGAACCAAACGCTGAGTTAAGGCGCCTAAATTGACGCTTATGGGACACCATGAAAGGCATTGGTTGCTTAAGACAGCAGGACGGTGGCCATGGAAGTCGGAATCCGGTAAGGAGTGTGTAACAACTCACCTGCCGAAGCAACTAGCCCTGAAAATGGATGGCGCTGAAGCGTCATGCCTATACTCTGCCGTCAGTGGTATGTTAAATGTATTTTTAAAATACATTATGAAACTCTGACGAGTAGGAGGCTCGCGGTGGTGTGCGCAGAAGGGTCTGGGTATAAACCTGCCTGGAGCCGCCATCGGTGCAGATCTTGGTGGTAGTAGCAAATACTCCAGTGAGATCCTGGAGGACTGACGTGGAGAAGGGTTTCGTGTGAACAGCAGTTGCACACGAGTCAGTCGATCCTAAGCCCTAAGGTAACTCTGATGTTAATGTGGTGTTATAAAAGTTAAATTATATAACACACCCATTGGGCGAAAGGGAATCCGGTTCCTATTCCGGAACCCGGCAGCGGAACCGTTTAAATTCGGACATTCGCGAGGATGTGACTTTTTGGAACTGGTGATACATTTTTTACTTGCTTATCTATAGTTTTGTTGGTGAACTGTTTTGTATTATGACTTTACATTGGTAACATTATTACCATTAATTACGCCGTATAAATAGTAACATCAACTGGTTATTCGAGCCTTCAGATTTGAACAGTGGCGCCAATAGACATTTTACTCTAACTAATCTTTCAAGTAGTAATATATCAACAGTAAATTTATTTTTTGACAATATTTTTATCTGATAAAGCGTACATTACTTCTTTGTAGACATTTTTATTGTATTTATGACCTTCCATGTTTAAGGACAGGCTTTTAAATAGTATCTAAACGGCCTACTTACTTCAACTGATTTTTTTTGCAATTAGCAATGACTTATTCATGTAACTAAAGAAATTGAATTGCATTTTTTTCTGTTTATTTTGTTGTTTGTGTAAAAAGAAAGAAGGAGAAGACAGAAAATTCCTACATTCTCCTTGAATAATAATTTTTATATTAATACCAACTTAATTTTGTCCATCACTGCTTCAGCCCTATACTTCCCTAAATCTGTACGTATACTTTTTTGTTGGTTTCTATTCCAACTTATGACAGCATGTCAACGGCTGGGAAAAGAAAGAAGAAATTGGCTACAGTAGAAGATGTGGAGGGTGCTGTTGTTACTGATGATGTTCTGAAAGAGCTGAGGAACCTTTGGGATTCTTATGTCTACAGCATTAAATCTTTTATTCCCTCTCTGCGTAGCGAAGCGAAGGATAAGGACACAATACGTGAACGAGAAGGTGCGAAAAGTGCAATAGGTGGAATGGAAGCATGTTTCGAGAAGGTGCAATGTTTTTATATAAACCTACGAAAGGAGCATCAATCGAGAGCTACTGAAGTGAATGAGGTTATGACAAAGATAACATCAATGACGAACGACAGAGACAACGAACTCGGTCATATAAAATCGGAACTTGATTCTTTGAAGTCTATGGTTGCATCAATGGCTCCTAATCGTAATGAAATGGCTGAAGATATTCAGAATATTGTCCGCGCGCATATTTCAGAATTGAAGGATGAGTTCAAGAATGCTATGCAGGTGGAGTTTCAATCCCTACAATTAAGACCGCATGAAACTCAACTAAATGGTCAAACAATTGATGTGACGGTAGAGTCCTTTGCTGATGCTGCTCGTAAACCAAAATCTTCTAGGGATCAAGTGAGGCTGGCGAATGGTGTTAGCTTGCCTGTGCTCAAGAAAGTAGAATTTGCTATTGTTCCTAAAACAGGTCAGGAATCTAAGTTTGAGTCGAGTGAACAGGTTGAAAAGGCTATTAGAAGTGCTGTTGAGCCAGCTGAGTTTGGTATGCAAGTGGCCAGGGTAATTAAATCGAGAAGTACAGCAGTACGAATTTCAGCAGATAAAGTAGACTTAGAGCAGTTGAAGTCGTGTGCTGCCCTCCAGCAGCTAGGCCTAGAAGTCAAGATTCCTCAGAAGCTCCTTCCTCGCCTAATGATCTTGGGAGTTCCAGATAGTATTGAGAAACAGGATATTCCTTCAAAATTGGTCTCGGGTAACAACCTCAAGGGTCTTGCTGATGAAATTAAGGTTGTGCACTCTTTCAAATCTAAAAAGAAGCAACATCAATGTAACGTTGTAATTGAAGTCTCTCCATCAATTCGCCGTGAACTACTATCTCTTAGTAAAATTTTTGTTGGTTGGAATTCATGTCATGTAGAGGATCACATTCTTTTAAAGCAATGTTATAAGTGCTTAAAACTTGGTCATCTTTCTAAAAATTGTCCCAGCAACTCAGAGTGTTGTTCAAAATGTACTGGGTCTCATGATTCACGCTCTTGTGAGATATCAGCTAAAGACTATAAGTGTGTAAATTGTGCATCTTCGGCTAATAAAGCTGATTGTAACCACTGTGCGCCTGATATTAAAACTTGTCCATTCCTTTTAAACCGCATAAAGCGGAAAGTCGCAAACATTTTGTATTAGAGTTTTCTTTTAGAACCTATCTTAAGTTGCCATCTATATTTTTTCAACGATGAGTCATACAAATCAGCATCTGAGCAGCAGTGTGGATGACAGACCACCTTCTGCCTTAAATAGAATCTGTCGTGACCACAGGCATACCACGAATACTAACATCAATACATACTTACAATTATACAGAATGGGTGAGACCACTGTCCAACCCTGTGAGTATGCCTATACTAATGAACAACGTCAGTTTTCAAC